GCGGCATTTGGGATCTTCCCGGACCGGGGCACCAACCCGTGTCCCCTGCATTGGGCAGGCAGACCTCAACCACTGCGCCACCAGGGAAGCCCCATATTGCATTTCTTGCTAATCTTCAGTTCAGAATTCCTCCAGGAAAATAATTCAGACAGCTTTCATACAGGGTAGGAATCAAGCAGGGAAGGGGTTTGTGGAGGTGGTACCCATGAGTTGATAGTGACAAGCACCCGAGGATTTTTGACTTGTACTTTTGTGAATTGAGAGAATGCATAAATGATGTTGGTGAGGACAACTACAGATATTTCATATAGAATAGAATGCTAGTTATGACATTTGTGGGTAGTTTGTTATTTTTTTAGTCAAAATGATCTTGATGTGGAAAGATGTTTCTGGGAGAATGTAATCAGTAACTGATTTTTTTCTCCAATCACCCTTGCCAAATGTGACTGTTACAATACAATTACAATACTATTGAGTGATTATTTGTAAAATGATTTATAAATATAGGAAATCCATCTATCCACAGCCTAAGTTACACTTATATTTCAGGAAGTCTGACTACACTAAAGAGACATTTCTTCTAGGGCAGTCTTCTTGGTAACTTTGAAATTGTTTTTATAAGTTGTTCTTTTCTCAGATTCAGTTCCTTCTGATGTTTTGTGGCTCACTATCACTCACTGAATAGAGAAAAATGTGCCCTACACTTCCTGTGACAATCATTTTGCTGACAGAGTGATGGTGTTTTAAAATATTGCACAGGAAGTGCCTTTAAGAAAGGTCCCTTGGGACCAGAAGCAGAGCCACCTCTCTGCAGAAGACCTCTTGGCTTTCAGTGTAACCTAAGTCAGGATTGGGAACCATCAGCTGTCACAGAATTCAAGCATATTTAAGGGCAATTTCTTTGATTCTCAACGTTCACTATTCATTTTTGATTGAGAAACCTGTACAGTTAGTATGGCAAAGTGCACAGATAATGTCTTAACAACTGAATCATTCTGCAGGATTTTTTTGTTTAAAACTGGGTTTCAGTGTAAGCAAATGAAAGAAAAAAAAGCCACAGATTTCACAAATACAACTTCTGATCCCTGTATGGAGGTAATAAATCATTTTGTTTCCTTGCCCCAATTTTCCTACTCTCTACCCTAAAGCAATTTGTCATGTTTCCCTTTTTGAAGGGGCAGTTCATTAAACTCTCAATTTCTCTATAAATTAAGATAGAACCTATAGATACCCCAAATCACCAAAATGTGAAAAGCTAAACTGAAGATATTTTGTCTTCAATAATGCCAACTATCTAGATTTTTTAAAATTTATCAATATTTAACTAGATAATTGGCACATCTTATTCTGTTATGCACCCATTTATTCACATTAATAAAACTGATCAGTCAGTGCGTACCCATTGATTCATTCTCTTACCAGAATATAATCATCTGTGAGGAGGAAATTTTTAAACACTATGAGTGATAATATTACAGTTAATGATGTACACCTTTTGATTGAATCCCACACAGTCAGGGAGGCCAAAAGCATAATATTTTCATATGATTCTTAATAGTTACTTGGCTTAAAAATCACATTTGATATTTTCCTTCTGAAAAATCTGTGGCACACCCATACACTGCAGTCAAGATTATAGATTGGTTAAGAAGAATGAATCTACCTGTTTGGTTTTAGGTTGAAATAACAAACAGTTCCTCATGGTCATTTTTATGGAGCTATTATCCTAGAAAGGTCCCCAAAAGCTTTGTGATTGTCCCAATCAAAGAATACGGTGTCCTGTACTATGATACTCAATTTAGGGAGAAACCAAACAGAGAGAGGTTACCTCACTTCTCTCAGGGAAAATCAGGAGTTGAACACAGGACAGGAGATGGTCTTTGCCACTTTCAGCTCCAGGCTTTTCCCACTAGACTTTATTCTAGAAAGCTCACTAATGGTCAGGCAGACCAAGTGCTACACAACTAACCTTTATCGGGGTTTTTACTTAAGAGAGGCTAATTTTTTATTTCAGTTGCTCAAGATAAGAGTTCTGTAAAAGGTGACCACCATCCTTGGCCCTCTGGGCATTATCACTAGGATTAATTGCTTGTGGCTATTAAAGAGAATGCTGACCAGAATGTTCTTCCTATAGTTTATACCGCTGGTTCCTTTCATGTGATTCTTGACATGTTTATTTCTACCCTTAATGCAATGAACTATTTCACTAATAAAAAAACTTTCTATGAAATTGCACTGGAAATTGTATGTTATGTCATCAGATGTCCAGTGGTCTGTGGAGTTTCATTTGAAAGATGCTCTCTGCCCTCCTGACGGACTCAGGCCTGAGTCACACCCTTGGGCCACCTCTGATTTCAGCTCAGCTGCAGTTACAGGCAGCCTGACAAGCCCCACTTCAAGCAGGTCCCACACTGTGCTCTTCTGCCTCAGAGCTTTCTCCAGAGCCCCAGAAGCCCCTCAGGAGCATGGGGGTTAATACTCCTAATGTATTGACGCTCAAAGGGGGCAAGAGTCAGCTGACAAAGGTGCCAGTCCTCAGAGGGACAGTTCTCAGGCTCATTCTACTTGGTTCCTCAGCTAGGGTTGCCCACACCGGAAACTGCTTCCTATCATCATTTCTTCATCCTCTGTCTCACTCTACCCACCCCCTCACTGCTGCTTCCAACGAAATAATCTACCTGCACTAACATCCTTATTCAGGTCTGCTTCCAGGTAAACACAAACTGAAATGCAGACAAGTTCACCCAGAGGGCTCAGCAAGATCAGAGAGCTGTTGGAGAAATACCAGACCTTTGTTTCTGTGGACATTTGGACTGAAGTTATTAGTCCAAAAGTTTAGATTACCTTTAAAACCTTTCCCATCCCAATAATATTGCAACTTATTTCTGAAGTCAGAGCAAATCCAGATCAATCATAAAATATTTAGTTCAGTGTTACAAATGTCCTTATGTATTAAGGACACTTGAACCTCAGCATAAGTGCTTCCTAGGAATCCCAAATCTGCTTCACTGGCTCCTGTCACAGGAGAAGCTCCCTGTTGGATCATAAATGTAAACTTTCAACTAAGTTTCATGATGCTCTGGGAACCTGACTGGGAGTTGAGGGAAGCCTTGCCCAAGGAAGTAACATTTAACTGAGACTGAAGAATAGGTGTTAATGAGGCAAAGCGAAGCATTTCAGACACAGGTAGCAGGAGGTGCCCAGGAACATGTTACAAGCGACTGAGAAAATATTTGGCTGGGATTCACAGAAGGAAGAATAGTGGGAGATGAGGCTGAAGAGAAAGGCAGCCTTATTGAGCCATGTCAAAGGTTTTGGTCCTTTTCAAGGCAAATGGGAAGCCATTGAAGCATTGTGAACTGGGTTGTTGGTCTGTGTGTGTGTGTGTGTGTGTGTGTGTGTGTGTGTGTGTGTAGGGGGGCTGGAATGGGAGATACAACAGGTTTGTTTAGAAAGACTCACTCTAGCTGCAGGGTGAATAAATTGGAAGAGAGTCAACGTGGACGAAGGGAGGTCAGTTAGGAGGCTGTTGTGTTAGGTGGTTCCTTTAGGGTCCCCACTGGATCTTGTCTGGGTGTCATGCACTAGCCTGCAGGGTGAATTCCACAAAGCCACATACATAGCATAGGTCAAGTAATGGCTTTAATGGGGAAAAAAAAAATTCTGGAAAAAGGAAGGCACAGACCCTCCATCTTCTTGTCATCCCATGGTGAGGCAAGCTGAGGGCCAGGGCACTGTTTGGTCTCAGTGCAGAGGGCATATTCCTTCTTTTTATAGGGCAAAGTATTGTCAATGGAGGAATACACAAGCAACTGAACAAGGGGCAGTTTGGACTTGGGCTGCCCATGGAACGTTGCACCCTCCACTGCTGGGGTGAAGAAGTCACCAGTTACGTGGGACATAAGGTTGGGTGCGGCCCCTTCCCCTCCCCTAGGAGAAGGGGGAAGCCCCAGCCACAGCCAGCTCATTTGCCAGGCAACCTAGAATGAATCTTGCTCATTGCACTGCGGTAGTCTAGGTAGGAGCTGGCAAACTTTTTTTCTGTAAAGGGCCACTTAGAAAATAGTTTTGGCTTTGCAAGCCTCTCTGTCACAACTACTCAACTCTGTACTTGTAGCATGAAAGCAGTCATAGACAACATGTAAGCAAACGCGTATGTCTGTGTTCCAACGAAACTGTGTACAAAATAGGCAGCAGCCCACATTTGGCTCATGGGCTGTCTGCTGATCCCTGGTCTAGACAAGAGATTACGGTAATTTGAATCAGGAAGATGGCAGTGGAAATGAAATATTTTAGAAATATTTAAAAGATAAAATATATAGGACTTGGAGATAAAAATGGGAAAGGCAAGGGAGAGAAACATGTCAAGGAAATCATTCATTCATTCCACAGTACTGAATAAGGGCCTATCATGTGGGTGGGCACTCTGCTAGCACCAGGGACACAGCCAGTAAATAAAACAAAGTTTGCTGCCCTCATGGAGCTAACATTAATTGGGGGCTAGGGGGCAATAAATAGGTGGTGGTAATAAGAATATTAAAGCAGCCAGTGACAGGAGTGGGATGTGAAATTTAGAAAGGGTGATCGGGGACGGCTTCCTACTGAAGAAATAGTCATCCATTCTTTTCCATCTGGGATCGTTCTCCCCTTCTATCCATAATTACTGTGATTTGGCTCCACTGCTTCTTTCTCGCAGGCTCTCTTGAGGGCTTCCTCCTCTGGTCTAATTACTGATGCTCAGCTGCATCTTCTCACTTGATCCTCTCTCCCTGACAATCTCATTGGCACCCAGACTTCAATTACACCCTAAACATGGGCCTCTCTGTTCCACCTCAGTCCCACATATCCAAGCGCCAGCTGGATATCCTCAGCCAGGTTGTCCTCAAATCTAGTAAGTAAAGAAAGGAACTCATGTTTTCTTGTCTCCCTCCCAAATTCCAGTGGCATCACAGTGTACAAGCCAGGAACCAGGGACCCTTGCTAGACTCCTCTTTGCCTGCCTCTCCACATCCCATCAATCATCAAGTCCACCTGCTCCTCAGTCTTCATTCC